GATAGGCACATAATAATCATATAATTATCAACAAGATTATCTTCGTCAGCAAGCGTATGGATTACAGAATGTTTAGACAAACGTCACGTCTCTTTTTATACTTTTAATATCAGGTTTCTAAAACTCCGTAGGATTTTGACTAGAACTCGAAATCCTTATGACAGTTGCATTCTGGTCTATCGCAGTAATTTAACTTGAATGACGCGTTTATGAAAAATGCCAGAGACTCGAATTTAGGTCAGCTGAATGCTCTTAGACTTTCATCTCAATTACTTACCTCGCCATTATTACAATAAGCACTACACTTTGTTCATGTCCATTTTTCTAACGGACATTTGTTGACCATAGGTCAAGCATGAAGTCCCTTGAAACTGAAGAGTTTTTCTTTATTAATGACGTATAACAGTAAATATTTCAAGCCTTCCAAATTATTTTAACGACTTTCTCTAACGAGAGAGAGAAATGAAAAACCTACGCGTTCATGTGTATTTTATATACACAGGCATACAGATATTATTATTATTATTATTTGCTATACACCATGTCTATGAACACTAATGGCTACGTCCCAATCCTCATAAATACGTTGAACACTATTGTAAGTGGGGGTGATATGCTAAGAAGTCCACCACACGCAGTGGTTTACCTACTTCACGCCGCTGGCGAGTATTATATTTTGTTGGTGTTATAAAGATTACCATTTTATTTCCAACCTCTGCTTTCGTTATTCGTCATTCAGTAACACTTCCTAGGTTACCACATTATTATTATTATTATTATTTTATTACCTTTGATTTCTGGTGTATACATATTTCTTTCCGGACCTCGCCCAGAGTCCTAAGGTTAGAAATGGCATCATGACATTTTCCACTGACCAATTTAAAAAAAAAAAGACACTCACACACATATTTTATATAGATAAAGCTCTTCGTAAGGTGTGGGATGCACTCGTGAGAACAATTTTCTTTATTATTATTATTATTATTATTATTATTATACTAAAATTACTACTACTACCAGTGCCAGATTTACATATGGTCTACTATGGGCAGCAGACCGGGGGGGGGGGGGCTAAGACTAAAGTTGTCCCCAAAGCCCCTTTAGTCTTGGGTTCCTGATAAAACAAAAAGTAAATATATAAGGACAAAGGCAATGTACTAATTTGAAACAATTAAGAGTATTTGGGTCCCTCTATTTCGAATGGATCGTTTAAATTCGATAGGGTCTCTTTAAGGGACCCCATTTTATACATCTTTATACATACATTTTATAGACACATTGGGGGTGAAACTACATAATGAAGGGGCCTCAAATTCTGTTAGCCCAAGGGTCTCTTAAGGCTTAAATCCGGCTCTAACTATTATTATTATTATTATCATTATTATTATCCATTGTCTGATTTCACTTTCGGATTGAGGCCTTTCCGAAGTTCTATGTGACATATGGAGTGATAGGCCTAATTCAGAGTCACCGGCCGATGGAGTGTTGGCATGGACTTGGAATTCGAATTTTTGATTACCCTGCTAAGGCTGCAGAACTCAGTCTACCCTATGGATTTACACTTCGTAGGAAAAGAAAGATATCCATGCCTTTCCCAGGGGTAACAATAAAAAGTGAACGTAACAGACAGCCGCAGTCAGAATATGAACCTGGCAGTTTTTTATCGCTATTGTTTAGCCAATACAAGGCCTAAGTGCCACTAATGGTAGACGGTTACTGAATGGGGATTTAATAAGAATTTATATTGAGACAGCAACTATTGTATGCAATGAGGATATGTAGAATAGACAACAGTTCACCCTCGTCTTAAAGGTCCACGCAAACGATTTTTGGAAAGGACTTGTTGGGCAGCTCCAGCCCAGATGTCATAGCAATACTCCATTTTTGGTTTGATCTGGCGCTTATAGAGATAGGGCGTGACATGAAGAGTCAGGTACTTAACTGGATCAGCGCAGGAAGCCGAATATTTTTTTAGGCACCGTATATATGAGTTGCACGTGAGGTCTGGTATGATCTTGAGTTCCAGGTCAAGGAACGTCATTGAGAGATCAACTGTTCAAAATGTATAGAGAAAACTTGGGGTCTGCTCTGTGGTGATAAAACGTTACTCGATTGGATTTGGAGGAATTGAATGTTACAAGCCAGTTTCTCCCCCATTGATCTGAGTGAGCATGCATCAAATATTAATGCTACATCTGGTCTCTGCTGTATATCTCGATACTCTTGACAAAATCAATAGAAGGGTCTGTAATATTGTCGGTCTTGACCTGGCATCTCAACTTCATTTACTTTCCTACCACCCCAACGTAGTTTCTCCATGTTTTTTCTATAAATATTTTCATGGTAATTGTTCTAATCAGTTTTCCTCTTTGGTAGCACGAACGCAAAAATTTAAGATTAGCAAGTAGGTCTCATCATTTTAATATTGAAAAAAAAAACACATTTTGTCGGTAAGTTCTCTTTTAATAGTTTCTTCTCTCGCACTTCTTACCTGTAGAACTCTCTTCGGATTTTCTTTTGATTTTCAGAAATTCAATGCAACGTCAATCGCCATCTTCTGTTTTTTTTTTTTTTTGTTGTTTTTGTTTTTTTTCAATCCTATGTTTTGTTCTCCTTTTATTGTCTCTTCATTCTCTTTCACTCTCAATAAATCTCTGCTAGTGTCTTAGTGGCATTAACACTTTGCTTTCGGGATTTTTTTTAAATCATTCCAGATTTTTTTTTAAATCTTGTTTCTTACAATTAAAATTACTGGAAACGTGTTCCCTTGTTTCATTTTTTCATCTTTTCTTTCATTGCAGTTTTTCAATTCTTCTTTTAATATTTTCTTTCATTCCTTTTTTTAATCTTTTCCTTCATTCCTTTTTCGAATATTTTCTTTCATTTCTTTTTTTAATATTTTCTTTCATTCCTTTTTCGAATATTTTCTTTCATTCATTTTTTAATCATTTCTATCATTCCTTTTTTAATCTTTCATTCCTTTTTCATTCTTTTTTTTTAATCTTTTTCTTTTTCATTCTTTTTTAATCTTTTCTTTCATTCCTTTTTCATTCCTTTTTTAATCTTTTCCTTCATTCCTTTTTCGAATATTTTCTTTCATTCCTTTTTCATTTCTTTTTTTAATATTTTCTTTCATTCCTTTTTCGAATATTTTCTTTCATTCCTTTTTCATTTCTTTTTTTAATATTTTCTTTCATTCCTTTTTCGAATATTTTCTTTCATTCCTTTTTCATTTCTTTTTTTAATATTTTCTTTCATTCCTTTTTCGAATATTTTCTTTCATTCCTTTTTCATTCATTTTTTAATCATTTCTTCCATTCTTTTTTTAATCTTTCATTCCTTTCTATATTCCTTTTTTAATCTTTTCTTTCATTTCTTTTTCATTCCTTTTTAAATCATTTTTTTCATTGCTTTTTTAATCTTTCATACCTTTTTCATTATTTTTTTAATTTTTTCCTTTTTCATTCTTTTTTAATCTTTTCTTTTATTCCTTTTTTTCATTTCTTTTTTAATCTTTCATTCCTTTTTCATTCTATTTTAATCTTTTCCTTTTTCATTCTTTTTTAATCTTTTCTTTCATTCCTTTTTCATTCCTTTTTTAATCTTTCATTCCTTTTCATTCTTTTTTTAATCTTTTCCTTCATTCCTTTTTCATTCCTTTTTAAATCGTTTCTTTCATTCCTTTTTCATTACATTTTTAATCTTTCATTCCTTTTTAATCTTTTCTTTCATTTCTTTTTTATTTCTTTTTTAATCTTTTCTTGTGTTCCTTTTTCATTTGTTCTTTCACTTTTTTCATTCCTTTTTAATCTTTTTATCATTCCTTTTTCATTCCTTTTTAAATCGTTTCATTCCTTTCTACATTCCTTTTTTAATCTTTTCTTTCATCCCTTTTAAAAACTTTTCTTTTCTTTTTTTAAATATTTTTCTTTTCCTTTTTTAATTCCTCTTTTAATCTTTTTTCATTCCTTTTTTCAGGCCTATTTTTCATTCTTTTTTTTTCTGGCTTTTATTATTTTCTTTTTTTTTCTTTTTTGCTTCTTCCATTCTCAATTCCTTTCCCTTTTCCCTGCCAAACATACCTTTCCGTTTCATATTATAATCTTAAGATTTTATTCATCGTTAATTTAATATTTCCCTGCCTGTGATTTCGTAGTTTTGTTTTGTTTTGGTTCGTTTCTCTATTCCCTTTGTACTATCTTCAGACACCTTACATTGTAATGCCGAATTCCGACATGAAGGATTCATTCCTATACAGTTCAATTTACGATACAACAAACGCAGTCAGCTCATAGTACATGTTTATAATATTTTAACCCGAGAACACTAAGCATCAATTAAAGTTACACCACTAATAACCATGGGTATATCATACCCGATATTGAAAATATCAAAAAAAAAAATTAAATATAAATCTTTATTTGAAATATTTTACATGCAGGCAATTCCAACTCTGTACTTAACATTAACAGGAACTGAAAAACATATTATTTAGGTAAGCAAATCAGGTACTGAAAACTGTAATTAAAAACAGGAAAATTTGCGCTGGGTACTATATACTCATGATTAGTGTTATAGGGTTAAAACAAAGAACTAATTTATACAAACGTTGTAGTTTATTGTCAAAAAGTCACCAGAAAATTTTTTTTTATAGTAAAAACAAAAAACCATTGTAGTTTAACTAAAGATACTATCCTGGTTGAATTTCAGATTGTTATTTTACAGAAAAGTACACAAATTTGTTTATCTATCTTACATGTATGGTTTATCTCCTTCACTTTAATATACTAACATTTATCTACATGACTCTATTCATCTGTGTTTCCTGTCTGTCTGTCTGTCTCTCTCTCTCTCTCTCTATATATATATATATATATATATATATATATATATATATATATATATATATATATATATATATATATATATATATATATATATATATATATATATATATATATATATATATATATATATATATATATATATATATATACACA